AAAAAAAGGCCATCTCAAAACATAAAAACAAAATCTTATGGAGTACAGCTGTTAGCCTGTAAAGCTGATGAAAAAGGGGGTGGGGGAGTACACTCATTAGCCTTTAGTATTATTTATCTGTTAGAAACACAATTATTTTCTTACATATAGCTATAGGCAAATGACCCAAGTTCTGAAGAAGATAAAAGATAGTGTCTGGAGCTATGGATGTAACTTAGTTGGTATAGTCTTTGCCCAGCATGGACTTAAAGCCCGGGCTTCAATTCCCAGCACTATATAAACTAAGTTTATTAGCACTATAGTAGCATATAATCTTAGCATTCAGAAGGTGGATGCAGGATCAAGGCCACACTCACCTACCTAGTTAGTCCCAGGCCAGCCTGGGATAGGAGACATGGTCTCCAAAAAACAAACAAACAAAAAACACCCCCGAAAGGTTCAAAGATAGGCTACATCTAAGTTAAAACACTGTATAGCATACCCTCATGTCTTCTTTGCACAAGAGCACAATGTACTCTGTGAAAGACACAAATAAAATGCTTGAATATAGCCTGTAGATAGAACTGTCTTTCACAACAAAGCCTGATTCCTTTTCTATATGACATGATGTGTGGGTAGGGCTTTCATTTTTATTCTCTCTCTTTTAAAATACTTAAAAAAAAACTCAACACAAACACAGAAGCAAGTATGATGGTAATTACAAGCTCTACTTCATAAAACATCATCATGTTTGTATGATGAGAATATGAGAATAGACCCCCCCCTTCGAAATAGCCATCTCAATTTATCAAGGCTCAAAGTAAAAAAGGGGAACTGTTTAAAGTATCTTCATATGTAAGGGTGGTGGCACGACCAAGCCTCAGGCTGAATATGAAACCATAGTGGCTTCCATGGCCACACTAAGGTGAGAATTAGGTAATTCTACAATAGTAAGGGGGGGTTAAGTCGAAACTCACTGGACCCACATCCCTACCTGGTTACAGTTAGCTCTCAGATCTCTAGCTTTTAGAAGCTGGCTGGATAACACATTTTCTTTTAAAAATTAGTTAATTAATTAATGAGGTGCTAGAGATAGAATCTAGGAGTTCACACACTCTAGCCAAGAGCTGTCTCACTGATCTCTATCTCTGATTTCAGTATTCTAATTTTAAATGCTGATAATTATTCTAAATAGTGGTTTGGCTCTTGGGGTAATGGTTCATAAATCTACACTAAAGGACCTTTTTAGACAGGGTCTCACATAGTCCAGGATGGCCTCAAATTCAGTATGTAGCCAAGGATAGCCTTGAACCCTGTTCCTACTGCTTTTACCTGAAGTGCTAGGTTATGTTGTGCTGGTGATTGAATTTAGGGCTTTGTGCATGCAGAGTAAGTACTCTACTGAAAAAGTCTCTCTCTCTCTCTCCCTCCCCCCGACCCCCCTCCCCGTGTGTGTGTGTGTGTGTGTGTGTGTGTGTGTGTGTGTGTGTATGCCATGTTTGTGAGGGTGCCCATGGCCCCAGAATAAATATTCAGATCCCTAGGGACTGGAACCTGATATCCTTGTTTTTTCCCACATGCTGTTTTTGACCTCCACATGTATGCATACTCTCTCTCCCCCTCTCCTTCCCCCTCCTCTCTCTCTCTCTCTCACACACACACACACACACTCACTCTCTCTCTCTCTCACACACACACACACACACTCACTCTCTCTCTCTTTCACACACATACCTTACAGTTTAAAAAAATGATCATTTATGGGGCTTGAGAGATGGTTCAGAGTTTAAAAGAGTCTACTGCTCTTCCAGATGAACTAAATTCAAATTTCAGAGCCATGCATGTTTAGGTCAGAGACAGTATGTGGAAGTTGGTTCCCTCTCTACCATGTGGGTCTGGAGATTGAACTGAGGTTATCAGGCTTGCCACCAATCACCTTCACTAGCTGAGCCATCCTGCTGGTCCCAGTGTAAGGCTTAGTTTACCAAAGCAACCACAGAAAGAACGATAGCAGAGAATCAACATCATCTCAGCGTTCAATGAATATTCTACTAGAAATACTCATAGCAGAAACACATGATTGGATTAAAATGTTTGTTTCAAGCCCTGTGGTGCAGGTATTGAGATAGAAAAAAAAACATAAATCACAGAGGAAAAATATTCTTGATAACAATAAAACCAAAAACCTTGTTTCTAAGTAATTGAGACTGGCTATGTTTATGTGATGGGAAACCCAAATCATGATTCATTCACACCGAGGCTTTAAAATAATGGGGGAGACGTTATTGATTGTAACTTGTAAAAGATACAATTAAAAATTTATGCTGCAACAAAAAAACCAAAAAATTATGCTATCAGCCTTTTTAAACTTATAGAAAGCCAATTGAAAATACTATACTTGCTTTGACAAACAAATTAAACTGTATTTAAAGCAAAGCTCTGATCTACTGGTGGTTTTAATAACCACCAGGGAATCAGAAAAGTGTTTAATTTTTCCATTCAAAAGGCTTAGGGGAGCTGGACTTGGTGACGCACGCCTATAATCCCAGTTGCTAAGGATACTGAAGCAGAAAGACCAGGAAGGAGCTCAAGGCCTGTCTCAGTTACAGAGGAAGTTTAAGATCAGCCCTGGCCAGGTGCATAGTAGTGTGACTCTTTAACCCCAGCACTCAGGAAGCAAAGGAAGATGCAGACAGATCTCTGTGAGTCCAGGATCACTCTGGACTATACAGTGAGTTCCACACTAGCCAGGACTACACTTTGAGACCATGCCTCAAAAAAAAAAAATCAGTCTGGGTAACTTAATGGGACCCTGTCTTAAAATAAAAACAAGGGCTGGGGCTATGATTCAGGGGTATGACTGCCTACCATGCACAACACTCTAGGTTAAGGAAAAAAAAGTCCTAAAATTAGCTGGGTGGTACCGGTGGTGCACACCTTTAATCCCAGCACTCGGGAGGCAAAGACAGGTGGATCTCTGTGAGTTCTAGGCCAGCCTGGTCTACAGAGTGAGTTCCAGTTCAGCTAAGACTGTTTCACAGAGAAACCCTGTCTGGAAAAACCAAAAAAAGAAAAAAGTCATAAAGTTGCCAGGGTTTTATTATCTGTCTTTTTGAAGTAATCATGAAATAGCTTAAGAGAAAATGTAAGATAAAATGGGTATTTCTTGAGAATATTTTCAATTTATAATGGTACATCTGCTTTAGTTTAAAGAAAGCATCAGTAGGTACTAGGGAAAGAACTTATAATTTAATGTGTGTGTGTGTGTGTGTGTGTGTGTGTGTGTGTGTGTGTGTGTGTGTACATGCATGTACTTGTGTGAGCTTGTGGAGGTCAGAGAAGGATGTCCTGCTCTACCTCCTTCTATTCCTTGACACAGAGTCTCTTGTTCAATCCACAGGTAGGCATCAGGCCAGCAAGCCCCAGTGAGCCTGTCTCCACCCTTGCCTGGCTTTTGACATGGATGCTGGATTCAAATTCAGGTCCTCATACTTGCACAGAAAGTGCTCTTATCCATCTCTCCAGGTTCTTTACTCCCATTTTTTTCCATTTCTGAGAACTGAACTTAGGGCCTCATATGGGCTGGGCAAGCACTCAAACAATGAGCTATATTCCTATCCCATTATTCAGATTTTTCAAAGATGTTTCCCACTGAGGAAAACAGTCCTGAAATAAAAATATAATTATTTTATTTTATTTTTTTAAAGATTTTACTTATTTATTATGCATACAACATTCTGCTTCCATGTATATCTGCACACTAGAAGAGGGCACCAGATCTCATAACAGATGGTTGTGAGCCACCATGTGGTTGCTGGGAATTGAACTCAGGACCTCTGGAAGAGCAGTCAGTGCTCTTAACCTCTGACTCTCTCCAGCCCCCCAAAATATAATTTTAAAGATGACAAAATTAAGGCAGCGTCCTAAATTCATGACACAAATAGGAAGGTCATTTTGGAATGTTATTGTAACATGTCCAAAGCTAATGGCTTTCGCCACCTTGGAGGATTGCTGGTTCTTTTGATTGGCTTCGGAGATCCAAGGATGCTCTCCTGGTACACCTGTAGCTCAGAACTAGTTAAGTCATCCGTTTAGGTTTTCTTTTTTCTTTTTCTTTTTCTTTTTCTTTTTTTTTTGAAATTAACCCATATATATTACTTGAGCACATTCAATTTTATTGCACTTATTTCAAGTGGTAAAAACTCATATTAAGTGATAAAGTATTGATAAAGGCTGAACAAGTGGCTTACTCTCTCTTCCCAGAGTTTCTCTAGCTTTCAAATAAGGATGGCAGCTTTCTGCGCTTTGCTGGCCTGGAGAGCAGGCACGGTCTTGATATGTAGAACGACGCCGGTGAGTTCGTGGACCTGTACGTGTTGCGGAAATGCTCCGCGAGAAACCTCATCATTGGCGCCAAGGACCACGCATCCATCCAGATGAATGTGCCTGAGGTTGACAGGTGCACGGGCCGGTTTAATGGTCAGTTTAAAACCTATGCTATCTGCGGGGCCATTCGCAGGATGGGCGAGTCAGATGATTCTATTCTCCAACTGGCTAAGGCAGGTGGAATTATCTCAAAGAACCAGAAGACATGGGGGAATATTTGTCATAAATAAAAGTGAGAAACTAGCTGGGCGCACGCCTTTAATCCCAGCACTCAGGAGGCAGAGGCAGGTGGATCTCTGTGAGTTCGAGACCAGCTTAGTCTACAAGAGCTAGTTCCAGAACAGCCTACAAAGCCACAGAGAAATCATGTCTCAAGAAACCCGAAAAACCAAAAAAAAAAAAAAAAAAAAAAAAAAAAAAAAAAAAAA